GTGGGCATCTGCACTCATGTGCATGAAGGGATATATGTGTACCTGAGCATACACACAAACAGACACACACCATTAAAAACAATAACATAAATCTGAAAAGAAAAAGAAAAAAAGAATCCTAGTGATCTTCCCAAGGCCATCCTCTCAGCATCCTTGAAGAATGATAGGCAAGCACATAGATGTCATTTAATGTCCCCACTCTGCTTATGTAAAGCTCAGTACACATCAGTCACTGTGATTGTCAAGACCAGTGTTTGTGCATGCAGAGGCAAGACCAGAGGTGGAGACCCAGTGGGCACTATGGGGAGGGAAGCACTATAAGGGGTGGGGTGGGGGTAGCTCAAGAGACCTTAGCAAAGACAGCTCAGCCCTGTGTGAGAAAAGGCAAGCAGTGAGTGGTGAGTTTAACTCAAGGCTGTGGCTTAATAGATTTAGGCTTGAGTTCTGAGTCTATATGATCTTCCCTGATAAAGCCATCTGCTCCCTGACCTTAGTCAGTGCCTGGAACTTTGTTTCACTGTATAGGGAAAACTACAAAGCCATCGTCTTCCTCCAAATTCACACTCTTCCTTAGTCTATTCTCCCCGGCCCCGTACTCTTTCAACCCAGGGTACCATGTACATGCTGTGAATAAACACAGCACACCCCACACAGACATCAATAGGTTGTCAGCATCCTCTTTCCTGGCCAGCCTCTTTCCCCAGGTTCTTTTCTTTCCCGGAAACTTCTCTTCCCCACAGCACTTGTAAACCGCCTCCCAGCAAGGTCAAATGATCCACTCAAGTCCACTTCATAACAACTTCAACAAACAGAAAAGGGTGTGTTTGTCACAAATACGCAGTCAAGTGTTCTTTCCAGAAAACAGAGCACTTCTGATCCTATCAAAGTTTGGACTGCAGTGTAGACAATAAACACTGAGTCATCATGAAGTATGCTCACGGGGCTGCTCAGTGGGTAAGGGGGCTTGCTGCTTAGCCTGACGACCTGAGTTCCAGCCCTGGCTCCCACATGGTGGAAGATGAGAGCCAGCAGGTTGTCCTCTCTCTTCCATATGCAGTCCCCTACTCAGTGCACACATGTACCCTCACATACACACATGCACACATAGTAGATAAACAAATAATTTGAATATATGCTCTTACCCGAAGGAAGCACAAGCTTGCCTTTACGAAGGAATAAGAGGGCAAATCACAAACACTGGAGTCTCAGGTGCCACCAGCCATTTTCAAACAGCCTTGTCACCATCTGCTGCCACAGCAGTCCTTCCTCCTAGTGATATCAAGAACAGGGCAACAGGTCCTTTGGAGGCCGTTTGGTATGAATGCAGGATAGTTCTAAGCCCTTGTAATTTTTTTTTTCTATAAAAACCCTTGCTTCTGAGACAGTGCCATCTGAATCCTGGACTTGCTTTCACTACACAATGCGATGAAAGCCTGGGGAGCCGGTTTCCCACTTTGAGCAAATTAGTGTCATCTTGTGACATCTGCCTGCTGCAAGGCTGAGAGGCAGCCCTGCCTTCGTGGAGGCATAATGGGGCTTCAATCAGATCAGGCATGGTGAGTGCTCATTAGAACTCCATCTAGGACATGAACTGCCACCACAAGCAGGTATTAGCTTGAAAGCATTTAATGGAGACTCTAGGATAGAAGCCTCAATTTCAACTTTATGTAGCTGCATCCCAAAAGATAGAGTGGCAAAAGAGCTGGGTTTGTGTGCATATAGTGTTCACCACAGGGAAGCAAGAACATAGGGCTAGATTTGTCCTTCTTTTGTTTAGGGCAGCATGTGTGCCTGTGTTATAGTAACCACATGAAGTGTGCATACCTTGGTCAGGAAGAGGGGCTATGGGCTCATTCTTTGCTACCATGACCATACATGGTTCTCGCATCCCTGGAGGCTTAGGAAAACTGATAGCCAGTGCTGCGGTGGTGTTTTCTCCTGCTTCTGGCAGGTATTTTGCTGAGTGCCTCCAATGCTGTATCTGAACTGCAGTTGCTGTGTTCCTGAGGTGAAGGTACATTTGAAAATAGTACTTTACGAAGTCCCACCTTAGCTGTGAATTGGGGTGGGGGGGGGGCTCCAGGGACTCCTGCCAGCCTTCAGTCCAGGCTAACATACAAAAGATGCACCTGGCCCTGGGTTCAACCCCGACCCCAGAAAAAGAAAGAAAGAAAAAAGGAGTAAGAGGGAAGGACAGGGAGGGAAGGGAGAACTGAAGAGGATGGAGAAGAGGAGAAATATGGGTTAGAGCTGAACATGGTGGTAACCATCAGTAATCCCAGCAAAAAGTCTGGGGCAGAAGGGCCACAAGTTCAAGACCAGTCTGAGCCAAGCAGTGAGTCCCTGCCTCAAAACAAACCAAAACATACACAACAACACCAAAAAAGCCTAGAATGGGTTGCTTAAATTATATTAATTAAGTTGTGTTTGTGTACACATGCTATGGAGGCTGGCATCTGCGTCAGGATCCAGAACTTCAGCTTTCAGAGGATCATCTTCTCAATTCATCTTTATGGTGGGCAGAAAGAAAGCAGGCTTTCTGATGTCACTTCCTATAAATATACTGCCCCACTATGAGCCCCCCCACACACTTTCACCTAGCTCTGATTACCAGCATGTGCATACATACACACACACACACACACACACACAAACACCGCCCTTAGGGTCCAGTCTCCAAGACCTTCCATGCTGAGGGTAGCCTTCATCATGTGTGTTTGAGGAGGAGGGCACAATCCATTCCACAGCTGACTGAGCAGCGCCTCTGCATCCCTTCCCCCACCTTAGCTTCACTCTGCAAGGCTGAGAGGAGAATGCTTAGCATCCAGCAGCTGAGAGCTGTCCCTGCTCTCACAGAGCTCAGGCCTTTAAAACCCAGAAATATTTAAATAGCAGTAGTTATGTGAGCTATGAAACAACACACATATCTAGGCCAGGCCAGGCTTCCCCAAGGAAGTGACCTGAGAGCTGAGAGAGAAGGGGAGTCACCCTGCTGCAGGCGGTGCAGAAGAGCGCTCTGGCCCAGGAAGCAGCCAGACTCAGGCATCTGTGGGTCCTTCCATTGTTTCCCACTGGGGTATAAGCACACATGTGTGGCTAGATCTCCCCCTGGGGATGCTTTCAGCCCAGAAAGGATCCTCTCTGCTGGGCTTCATCAGCAGAGAGCCTAGTGGCAGCTTACATTTGCTCCTTGTCTTGCAAGTGGCTTGTGGTCAGGAGGGGAAAGCAGGGCACACTGGCAAGCCAGCATAGGGAATAATGTCTTCATTCTGCATCTCAGAAATCCCTCCCTCCCTGCAGCTGGATGTACACGCCTCTCTTGTTCGTTATTCATAACTGAAAAAAAAATAGGAAAGAAAGATGGGGCTTTCATCAGCAATCCCTGAAAGAGGGAAATGAGTGCAGGAAAATACAACTGAAACGCACCAGCGGTCCAAGGTGAGCAGTCCTAGGTGAGCAGCCCTTGCCTCAAGCTGAAGGACATGTTTTTTGCAAACAGTTGCTATCTGGTAGAAACATTTTGTCCATCCACTTTGCTTCAAAATACGTTAAACCTGGTCTCCTTTGCCATTGAGTTTTGGACCATACACTGTCTCTTTAAAGACATCTTGGCAGTTTTCTGTGTCCTTCAAACTCTCCAGACCAGGGGTAGCTGTTGAAATAACTTGCCCATGATAATATCTGTGGTTGTCCTGTTTAATGATGGGTTTTTGTGGCCCTGTCTGTTCCTTGTACTGTGTTTCAGTCCCCATTTCCCCCTTTTACTTCGTGTGTGTTTATGCAGTAAGTTCACTTGTGGTCCCCAAACCTACGCTGTCTTATAACATTTTCTTTCTTCCTTCTTTTTGATTTTCTTATTCCTATTTAAGATAAAGTCTCACTGTATAGCTAGTTCTGCTGGTCCAGAACTTACTATGTAGACTAGCCTGGCTTCTAACCCACAAAGGATCTCCTTGCCTCTGCCTCATATGTGCTGGAATTAAAGGTGAATGCCATCACTTTCCAGTTCTTTTAATTTTTTGTTGCTGTTTTGGGGACAGGGTTTTGCCATGTAGCCCAGGTTGGCCTAGCACTTGAAATGTAGCCCGGGCTGGCTAGCACTAGTTACATAACTCAGGCTAGTTACATAACTCACAGTAATCCTCCTGCTTTAGCCTTCTAAATCCTGGAATTACAGGTACACACTATCACACCCAGCTTTCTTTCTCATTGCATTTTTGGAATGCCATGTGTATAACTGACCCACAAGACCACCTAGCAGTTGGGTCTGTGACAGGCTGGCCTTGAATAGATTCTCGCCCAGTGGCTTCTCTGTGGGACCCAGAAAATTTCAGAAGTGCTAATTCATCCTCTCATCTGAATCCTTGCCTCCTAGATCATAATGGATGTTCCATTAAGCCTTTTGTTTGTTGGTTTTTGGGTTTTAGTGCTCTTACTCATTTGTTTTTAGTAATTACCACCAAGGTTCAGCTCACTCTGTTGTATGAAAAGTCCATTCCTAGGCCAGTGAGGTGGCTCGGTGGATGAGGGTGTTTACCACCAAGTTTGACAATCTGAGTTCAATCCTTAGGACCCACGAGGTGGCAGGAGACGACAGACTTCCAAAAGTTGTCCCTTGGCCTCCACACACTCTCTGTGGCATGTGCATGTGTATGCCCTGCCCCTCACCCACACACAATGCATGACTAATGTGAAAACAAAAGTCCATTCCTCTAAAAGCAACAGCATTGCTTCCTATAATCCTGCTAGGTACACTGGTGGTAATCCCTCCCCTAGAAGGAGAAAGGCCACAACAATGTTCCTTCACTGCTATAGTGATTCTCCCCGGCCCTCATGGGTCTCCAAACCCCTCCTTGTCATCCCTACTGTGCTCCTCAGTCACCTGAGCATTTTTCTGTGGCTGCTCACTGGCAGCCAAGCAACATTCAGCCTCCTGCCCACTCCCACCGAAAGATGAGTTAAGTTCCTCTCTCCCCTCCCCGGGGGGGCCCTGCAGCGGCCTTCCCAGGATGATGTCAGGCCATGCCATGGCTGTCCTGCACTCATGTGACGATGATGCAATGTGCTCCCCAACCCTGGTCTCTTCCTCAGCATAGCATGGAGGTAAGAGAAGACTCTTATCCCTGTGCTGTTCCTTCTGCCTCAAGCTTTCTCAGCCCTTGATTTCTTTGCTACTCCAGAGGTCCACCTCACTCTTCAGGATCTAACTCGGAATGGGGATGACTGCCCACAGGTGGTGTGCTCTGCGTCCTCCCCTGGTGGCGTGTGTTCTTCCTCTTCAGCACGGCTGCCACATCTTAATGCCTCTCTTCCTTTATGTGATTGTCTGACATGCCTCTGATAAGGAGCTCAGTACCTGACCTGGGTTGGGCCATGGTTGATTGTTACTGAAAGCACAAGGAAGAAAAATCAGTGAATGGAGATAGAGGTGGGGTGCTCTCCTTTCTTGCTTGCTTCAGCCTTAGCTGAATGTAGATACAGTATGTCTAAATGCAAAATGGGCTGAAATTAAAAGCAGTGTGACATGGGAGACGTGGGGCTCTACTGAGTTAAAATTTAGGACTGAAAGCTTCCCTTAAATGTGGGGGAGAACATCTTCCAGCTATAGGGAATGCACATAGTAACAAGAACCTTGTGTGACGGGAAGCTTGCTTCCTTTGCTCTTGACTGGGATGGAGTTAGTGTGATTTTTTCCCCCCTTGAGCAATTTCTAGTGTGCAGTACACCAACCTCAAGGGCAACAAACATGGAATCTCATGAGCCTGACAGGGCTGGAGCATTCAGAAGGGCAGAAGAGTTACATAGTTGCTGCTGTGCCTTCTTCTGAAGCAGAGATCATTCTGCTTCTCCTCACAGAAGCCCTGGCCAGCTGCTTACCCACACGTCCCTAACACAGCCCATAGCACTCGGGGAGGATTCCCTGCCACACAGTGAAGACATTCAGCTAAGCCACAGTTTCCTTGACCCAAGGAGGAAAGCCTTGTGTGTGGTTTGGGGTTGGGGATGTGGATGAGCAAGCGCAGATTTTTTCCCCATTGCCCAGTGGCTCTAAATTGCAACCTCTCTTTTCATTTTCCATTATGCCTCAAACACATCTGTGCCAAAACTAGACGAATGGATTCTGTCTGGGAGGATGATCCAGACAGCTATAAATTAGAGTTTGTGTTCAGAGATTCCAAAAATGTGGCCTCGTGGTAGGGTGTCCCTGAGACTAGTCACCTCCTCCATAGTCTGTGTGGTGGCTGCTGGTTTGGGCCCAGGGCCTCCGTCAATAGATTTTTGCTTTGTGTTTGGAAACTGTCTTTCCATTAAGGCACTAGAGAGGCATGAAAGCAGGGAAGCCTGTGAGGTTTGCTGGGCAGACTCATCCCAGGCAGCCCCAGGCATTTCTAGGGACAGGTTTAACCGAGGACAGTGCTCCTCCCTGCACATAATAGCCAGGGACCCCAAGGCTGGCACCTTCAAGAAGACTCTCCAGTTCCCATATTGGACAAAAAAGCTAGTATGCAATGCTTCTCAGAAAGCTATTTTTTTCAAGCCTAGAAGACTGATGCATAATTGATGGAGAGCCCTTAGAAGACAGAAGGGAAGCATCACCTGCAATTCCACCCTTAAAGATAAATAATGTTATGCCTTAGCATGACTTCATCTCATGTTTCCACATCAGCCTCTTCTTTTAAAAACCCTTTCAAAAGACAGTTGAGGCCAGCTGTTTTAGCCGCCCCATAAATTACCCCGTTAGTGTCCTCTCTAAGGGCTGGGAAGCCTTAGTTATTCCACATGGGAGTAGCCAGGGGGTAGAGCCCTCACTAAAGGCAGGCCTGCATAGTTCTTAAGAAACCAGTCACACAGGGACTTGGCTCTGGGAAACAAGAGACGAAGAGGAGGAAAGCCCTCATAAATATAGCCAGGTAACCTTGCCAGGGTAGCACACATCCCTCTCAAGCAGCCCTACAGGAGAGAAGGAACCTGCCCAGGAAGGCCTCTGGCCTAATCCCCCTGGATTTTTCCTTATTACACCTCTGCTCTGCATTCTCTCCTTGACTTCTGCTGCCAGCATCTTGGGGTGCTCTCCTCTTTTCAGATAAGAGCAGACCCTCACTGTCTGGTGAAAGGCTAGGGCTGCCCAACAGTAACTAAAGAGTTAGAGATGCAAGATGCTCTTTTTACATCTCTGCTGATTTCCCCATAGTGCTTTGTACTCACAAGGTACTCTGTAAATAACTATTAATTGATTGATACAGCGATATTCAAGAGTGGTGTTGTAGAGAAAGCACCTTGGCTGGAGCCTGCTGGCCTGCAGTTGCGACAGTCCTGCGATTGACATGCAGGGCTGCCAGCTTAGACATGGAGCCTGTGACAGCCTTCAGCCTCAGGAGAGGAAGCCTGGTGATGACTCTACCAGCCGCCAGCCTGCCCAGCCTCTGCCTGTGCCAACCACTCAGCCTCTCCATGAGCCACATGGCAATACAGACCCTGCTTTTTCAGAAAAATATTTTTTCCTTTCTTGCTTTCCATGGAAACTCAAAATAGCAACAACAACCAAAAAAAAAAAAAAAAAACCTTTCCCCGTCTGCAAAACCATGCCTGGGCACAGGCAGGGCAGTGGGCACCATGTAGGAATCAAGAGAGGGGTCACAGGAGTCTCCGAACAGAGTTCTAGTTGGAAACTTTGTCATGAAGTGTAGGTGGGCTCCCAGGTTGGTGTGGGTTTGTTTGGGTTTTCTTTCTTTTTCTTTTTTCTTTTGTGTGTGTGTGTGTGTGTGTGTGTGTGTGTGTGGGGGTGTGGGTTTTTGTTTTGGGGGTTTTTTTTTTTTTTTTTTCTAATTTAGAAGGTGGCTTCCCCCAGGTCTTAGAGTTCTTCTTGCTCTTGGTGACCCCCTGAGACAGTGGCCACCACCACTCACTAAGGTGTTGGTGAGGAAGTCCAGTATACCCAGCAAGAAACAACAGTGCATAGGATAGATGCCCAGCAGGGAGAGTGTTGTTGGAGCAGTGGTTTTGACACACACTTTCATTTCATGGCTGCCAAATAACCACGGGAAAGCCCAATGGCACAGCAAACCCTGTGACTGGAATCAAGACAGTGCAGAGTCAATTAGTTACTTCAGGGACCTGAGAGGCACCGAGCCCATGCTTTTATCTCTAAGCCTGGTTTCCACCCTGGTAAGACATGAAGAGGGGGCAAGATGATCTCTACAGGGACAACAGTCCCAGGCCCCTTGAGGCCTGGACACCCTGTGCCCACAGCCTGCTCACCAGTCTATGTACACACTCTCCTCCTCCAAAGTAAACACACTGCTGCTTATCTTCCAGCTGGCTGGCTCAGCCGTCATTGCGTTTGGATTATGGTTTCGGTTCGGAGGCCCCATAAAGGATCTATCTTCAGAGGACAAGTCCCCAGAGTATTTCTATGTAGGTAAGTGACTTCAGTTCCCCTAAAGGTTGGGTCTGAGGGATAGGTAGAGGCATGAGCCACTGCCTGAGCCTACGCACCTATGCCCTTCACCTGGTACTGGGGAATGTCCCTCTGTGGCCCCTTGCTCCAGGATAGAAGGCCCCAGTGAGACTGATTTGTTTACTTAACGAAGTCTCAAGGAAATGAATGTAACTAAAATTTATCTTAAGGAGTTTGGAAGCATCCTTTGTCCCAGGAGACAGTCACCGGTCCATTCAGAGTGCCACAAGGGCCCTGATGAGTAGGCATCTTACTTTGTGGTGTGGCGTTTTAACATGGAAACAACTCAAAATGGAGAGATGCTTCAGAGTTTTGGGGTGCTGTGATGGTTTGAAAGAAAATGCCCCCCCTTGGCTCATAGAGAGTGGCACTATTAGGAGGTGTGACCTTGTTGGAGTAGGTGTGGCTTTGTTGGAGGAAGTGTGTCACTGGGTGCAGGCTTTGAAGTCTCAGAAGCTCAAACCAGGCCTGGTGGCTCAGTGTCTCTTCCTGACGCCTGCAGATCCAGATGTAGACCTCTCAGCTGCTTCGCCAGCATCATGTCTGCTAGCATGCCATCAGGTTTCCCTCCGTGACAGTAATGGACTAAACCTCTGAACTGTAAGCCAGCCCCAATTAATAGTTTTTCTTGAGGAGAGTTACCATGGTTATGGTGTCTCTTCAGAGCAACAGAAATCCCAACTAAGATTGGCATTAATCTCAAAACTTCTGTGAGTAGGGACTGCTGAGCGACGGAAAAGACCCCATAATGGGGATGGGAGAGAGCTGACCCTGGAGAAGAGATCCAGACGGAGGGGACACAGCCACACTTCCTGCCAAGATAGGGAGGAGATGGGGGTGAGGGAATGGGATGTCTTGCAAATAAAGCTGGCACTCTTCTCAGGGGCTTTGGTCCCTCTGGTATTTTAGCCCTGCTCTGCCATCCTATGGTTGACTCCAGCACTGCGTCCTCATACAGCAGAATCCACAGGAGGAAAAGGAAGTTTCACTTCATGTGTCCTCTTCCAGAAGTCTCCTCTTGCAACCCATTGACCAGAATTGCATCATATAGTTAATCCTAAACCAACCATGGCCCAGAAGAGAATGGCGATGGCTGTCTCTTTAATTTTGGCCCTTCATTTCCTTGTGGTGCCTACTGCTGTTTCTACAAAAACCCAGCCCTCCAACTTTGGAGCCTGATTATGTGCTTGTTTACTGTTACTCACCATGGTAACAGCAAGGGAAGATGTGCCTGAGGAGCCAAGGGAGATAAACCCATACTCATGCCCCACAGCACCAAGGATTCGAAGAAGGATTCCAGCTATTTGTGGACTGTTTCATCTCTTTTGCTCTGTTGGGTAACTTGTTCATTCCCAATCCAAATAGCTTAAGAGTGATGAGGCCAACCCAAGGAACATGGGTTTCTGTGAGGAAACCTCAGAAATCTATGGGA